CGAATCATGAAATCGCAATTTTTGAAATTTGAGCGTGTGGCGCAGCAATAGGAGGTCTTTAGACCGAGCCAACCATAGTAGTGTTTGTATATACTAATATATACTCATGAGTACTTGAGTTATCTGGATTACTCATTACTATTTCTGTGGCGAAAAAATCGGAAATAATAATAATAAATTAAAGAAAAAGACGTGTTGAAAAAAAAAAAGAAATAAAAGATATATATATATATTAACTGAGCAAATCAAAAGTAAAAAGTATCATTTGTAACCATAATAATATATGATTGAGTAAAGGAATATATTTTTTTTTTCGGAAAATTTTATATACAAAACCGCTGTATAATATTAATATATTATCACACTTTTTTTTGTAGCACATTACTAATTTTTCCCGAATTTTTGCGACACATTACTAATACTTAAAATTTTTCAATAGAATTTTGCGACAAATTACTAATACTAATAATAATAACAATATTAATATCAGTTAAAAATTTGCGACAATCCAATGGGAAATCTTCTACTACTTTATCTTTTACGATCCACCATATATATAGTTCACTGTAATGAACGCCGATAATAGGTTAGTAAGAATCAGAACACATGTCTTTGCTAATATACAAAAAACTATCAAACAATAAATTGGGGAAACAAATACTTATCACAATTGTCGCAAAAAAATTGCGCTGTGGTTATTTTCGTAACACAAATATTTCCGAAAGACAGCACACCTCTTATTAGTATTAGGGTGTAGTAGTAGCGCAAATTTTCGGAATAATACTATATAAATAAACAATTATACCCATTTATCAAATTCAACTAACTGTGTAATTTTACAAATATTTACCGCAAATCGAATTTGATTTTTTTTACTTGCTGTGTTTAATCTATTGTTATGATAAGGGGTAATTACGGTAAGCCCTGCGATGAGTGCCGAAAGATCAAAAAGAAATGCGTTAAGACTCACACTGGGGAATGTAATTATTGTTTAAACAAAAGAATTTCATGTGAAAGAGATGGTGTAAGCAATGGTAAATCTATATGCTAATTAATTATTATTATTATTTTTTATTAGCCGTGTAATTCATTTGTTTTTGTTTTTTTTTATCTTTAAAAATAAATGAAGCACCAAGCAAATTCATCGAAGACTTTTTATTTGGATCACATTTCACTGAACCAAGTACTTCTTCTGGATCATCTTTTCCGGCAGTGGAACCAAATACAATGGACGGTTCATTATCATCTTCTCTTATAACTGATCAACATGCAGAACTGGGGATGGAATCAAATACAATTGATCAAACAATGTACCAACCCGTAAAACTGTCAATGGAACCAAATACAATGGATGGTTCATTATCATCTTCTCTTATAACGGATCAACATGCAGAACTGAGAACGGAATCAAATACAATTGTTCGAACAATGTACCAACCCGTAGAACTGTCAATGGAACCAAATACAATGGATGGTTCCTTGTCATCTTCTCTTAGAACGGATCAACATGCAGAACTGGCAACAGCATCAAATACAATTGATCGAACAATGTACCAGCCCGCAGAACTGTTAATGGAACCAAATACTATTGGTGATTCATCATCATCATTTCTTAGAACAAGCCAACATGTAGAACTGGGAATGGAACCAAATACAATTGTTCAGACAACGCACCAGCCCGCAGAACTGTCAATGGAACCAAATACAATGGGTAATTCATCTTCTTCTTCTTTTAGAACAGGCCAACATGTAGAACGGGGAACGGAACCAAATACAATGGAATCAAATGGTTCATATTTTTCGCTACTTTTACCAGCCCGCATAACTATCAACGGAACCGAATACAATAGTTGGTTCATCTATTTTGTCAATGGTTTATCAACCTACTGATGTAGTGTTATTTCTCTAAATTCACAGAACGAATTTCCACAAGATATTTATTCAGATAGTAATTTGTGTAGTCTAATGATTCATGTAATAATTGTACACAAAATTTGTGAATAAGAGTAATAAATAGTAAATAATTTTCAATTATAATTTGCAAGAATTTACCAGATATTAGCAAACCTAATAATTATTTAAGGAATATTCCTCTTTTAAATCAAGAAAAAAGAGAGTACATATATTTATATACATAGTCCAGTTCTAATATTTTACAAATTAGATTGAAGAAATCAAAATATCAAAGCCAAATTACGAATTCTGTGACAGAGACTCTTGAAGTCCAACAGAATGAACCAAATCTACTAAAATTTAGTTTTAATCGATGTTACAAGTTCTACAAAATAATTTTTTTTTGAAAAACATAAATAAAATAATAGGTCATATGTAAAACCCTTGCCAAATTAGTATCAACTTGTGTTAAAATTCCAGAAAGTTGAAGATAAAAAATAATATATTATTATTATTGCTATCTATTTTAATAATAAGTTAATATATCATTATTTGTAATTTTTACCATTCGAGATAATATTTAACATAATAATAACCTCCTTAGCGGCGGCGTAAACCTAACAAGAAGGAAATCTGCACGGTCTAAGACACGGAGATCGGGAAAACCACACACGACTTTATTTCTATTGTAAGTTTCCTTTGCGTGTGAAAAAAAAGAGGCGTGATACACATGTTTATCTATCTAACATTAGAAGAGGTTAGGGTTGTGTAGAATTCCGGTCCCATGGGCAAAGACAATCACAGCAACAGTATTGCAGATTTTATCGACATCATAAAAGTAGCTAAAGCTCAGCACATTTTATTTAGATCCAAGTGTATTGAGGAATCTAATTGTAACCTAACACCAGATAATGTCCATTCAGCCCAAATTGTTTTGTTAATGTCAAAAGTTAAAATAATTACGACACTCATTATTAAAGACATACATGTATAACGATAATTACAATGTTTAAATACTTTGGGTTGAATGTATATAGTTGTTTTTTCATGTCATCGGCTTAAAAATTAGATTTAAGATCTCTTATTGTTATATACATTGTAAAATTACCAATATAACACGATACAGCTTGTCTGAGTGTTTTTTATTTATTTCTATTTCTACTTGAATGATATGTATGTAGACTTACTCTATAATAAAAATAATAAATAACAACTATTTTTATTACCAAAATCACCCACGATCGACATCGAAATTTTTATTTTGAAAAATTGTAAAGATTACAAGAAATATGGATTATAATATGGACGACTTTACATTTAAACGTAAAAAATCAAACAAGTCATCAGGGAGGAAATTGTTTGCAAAACCTGATATACCTATTATAAAAAAAAATCTTCGAGAGAGTGCTGCTCATGTATCTACTACATTAAGAAAGCACAATGATAATGAATTTGAAGGCGATGTTGCAGATTGGTCAATGGAAGGAACTGGAAGAAGAGTTGCCTATGAAGATTTTACTACCATAGGTTTGATGAAACTATAATGTTTGTATATCTACATCACTTGTATAACGTTGATCTGATTTATTAGTTTATTTTTAACACAAGATTGGATTCATGATTTTGCTAAAGAAAGAGCACGCCAAAGAAAATTACAAAAAAAAAAAGGATTTCGTGCTCAATTGAATCTTCTTTTTGATGCTACAGAAGGATGGATTATTGTATCGATTGTTGGTTAGTTTATTTAAATGTTTATAACATACACATTATATATATTAATAATTGTCTATAAAATATATATTTTGGTGGCTTATCAGGTATTGCATGTGGATTATTAGCAGCAGCTATTGCAATAACTTCAGAATGGTTAAGTGATTTAAAAGAAGGTTATTGTAGCACAGCATTTTATTTAAATAGAAAATTTTGCTGTTGGGGGTATGAAGGTATTTTGATATTGAATGTATTAAAAAAATTTTAGGAATTGTATTTAATTATCTTATTTTTATTTTCTAAAAAAAAATTATAAAGACTACATTTTTAATTAATTTGTCAAAATATATATAGATGAATATGTTTGCACAGGATGGGTTCCTTGGAATACTGCTCTTCAAGCAAGATCAGAATCTGCAGAATTTTGGACAAACTATTTTTTTTATATAATATTTTCTGTAAGTCATTAATAAGACCATTATAATGATTGATGACTTGTAATAAATTCATTCATTCTATATTATTTTTTATCATCAGCATCAACACTGACATTCTTTTTTAATATACAATATAAAAAAGTTATTATTTGCAACCACAGCGGCTTATTTAGTTAAAACTTATTCACCTTATTCTGCTGGTAGTGGATTACCTGAAGTTAAAACTATCTTGGGTGGATTTGTTATAAGAAAATTTTTAGGGTGGTCAACTTTAGTGATCAAAAGCATCGGAGTGGTTTGTAATCATTCATTCATTATATGGGACGTGGACAATTAAAAAGGACAAAATATTTGATTCCTGGTCGTTTTTGAGACAACGATTCAATTTGCGTCTAAAAACCTTTTTTAGAATAGCACTTGCTTTAAAAATTAATGAGATAGATATTTTTTAAAGTTGTAATTACAATAATTAATTTCTTTGCATGCTGATCTTTCTTGCGTTCATTTTAATTGTCTATATCTTGTATATTCTTTTTTAAAAAAAATTTTATTAAAAATTTATTTTTATTATAGTGTCTTGTGGTTGCATCCAGTTTGTCTCTGGGCAATGAAGGGCCTTTAATACATCTGGCTTGTTGTTGTGGAAATATTATACCTAGAATTTTTCCAAAATATAGATATAATGAAGGTTATTATTAAATTATTATCAATATTTTATTAATATTTTTGTTTTTTAACAATTAATTTTATAACTTAATTAAATAGCTAAGAAACGTGAAATATTATCAGCAGCAGCAGCAGCCGGTGTTTCTGTTGCATTTGGTGCACCTATTGGTGGTGTTGTATTTAGTTTGGAGGTAGATTAAATACCCATCAAATTATTTTTAAATATATATATATATTGCTGTTTTATTTCCATACAAAAGATTAATATACACGTAATTTAGGAAGTGTCATATTATTTCTCATTCAAAACTATGTGGAGAAGTTTTTTTTGTGCAATGGTTGCTGCAGTATCACTTGCGGTATGTAATCCTATTAAATATTATTATTATTTATATTTGTTATTAATTAATAAATTTATTTATTTATTTATTTATTTTTAGTTTATGAATCCATTTAGAACTGGCAAGCTTGTTTTATTCCAAGTTGTTTATGATAATGATTGGCATGCTTTTGAATTGATTTTTTTTGCAATATTGGGTGTCATGGGGGTAATTAAAAACCCCCCTTTCCTTTAATGATGATTATAATATGAGAATTAAACTAGTTTGATATTAAATCATGTGTTAATTTATTTAATAAATTTAGGGGTTATTTGGAGCTTTATTTATAAGACTTAATCTTAAAATTGCAACATTTCGTCAAGAATCTTGGATAAGATACTTTCCTATACAAGAAGTGATAGTAGTGTCATTTTTTACATCAATAATTAGTTATTTAAACATTTTTATGAGGTGTATTTTTCTTTCTCTCTTAATAATAATTTGAATGATCAAATTTTTTATACTAATAATAATAAATATTTTATTTTAGAGTAAACCCTTCTGAACTTGTGGCAAATTTATTTCGCGAGTGTGTTGGAGGAGATTATCATAATCTTTGCAAGTAAGTTTTTTTTATACAAGCTTTTATTTATAACTATATATGTGTGTATGTATACATGTGCGTATATACATTTATTTCTTATTATTTTGACTTTTCACTTAGCCACGACAATTATTGGGAACCAACTTTATTGTTATTGGTTGCATCAATTTGTAAATTTTTCTTAACTGTAGTGTCATTTGGTTTACAAGTTCCAGCTGGTTTATGGTTACCATCATTAGCAATAGGTGCATGTTTTGGTAGAGCTTTGGGGTTAATTGTGCACGCATGGCATAGGTAATGATAACAACAAATCTATATTATAATAATAATTTAAAACTTTGATTATATACTAAAGTTAATTTACCATTATAATAATTGAAAGCTATCATCCTAATTTTTGGCTATTTTCTTCATGTTTGCCTGATGTTCCTTGTATAACACCAGGAATGTATGCTATGATCGGGGCAGCAGCCACTTTTGGTGGAGTTACACGTATGACAGGTAAAAATAAGTTTGTCAAAGATATTGATTATGTTATTAAGCTTATAAATTTATTATATTTATACATTTATATATATAGTCTCATTAGTCGTTATAGTATTTGAATTGACTGGTGCATTAACTTATGTTTTACCAATAATGATTACTGGTAATTTTCCCATTAATTTTAATTAATAATTTTTTAAACTTATAATATTCTAACTATTTGTATATATATATGTGTGTGTGCATGTATGTATATATAAGTTATGATTAGCAAATGGGTTGGAGATGCATTTAATAAAGAAGGTATATATGATGGCTGGATAAGGATGAACGAATATCCATTTTTGGATAGTAAAGAAGAATATATTTATAATACATTGGCTTCTCAAGTTATGACAAAAGTTGAAGATTTATTAGTCATAGTTTCTGCTGGCTACACTTTGAATAGTTTGGGTAATATTTTGAAAAAACTTTTTTTAAAAACAAAGTAAAATTTTCAAATTATAATTTATAAATAACCAAATCCCTTATTTAATTAATTATATATATACATATAATTAGAAACAATACTCAATGATACGAATTATAAAGGATTTCCTGTAGTGCATAGTTCTGATGATTTGTTACTTAATGGTTATATATCCAGATCTGAATTAAAATATGCAATGGGTAAATATAAATATATTTATATCATTCAATAAAAATATTTCCTTAATAATAAAATGAAATAAACTGATTATATATATTTTTTAAAAAAAATTCATAGAAAAGGCAAAAAAACAAGGAATATCATCATCATGTCCTTGTTATTTTTCTAATAATTTACCTATATTGGATTCATCTGAATTTGTAGATTTCAGGCCATGGATGGATCAAGTAAGATAGATTTATAAATAATGAATATATGAATATAATGATTTAAACTGATGTAATTTTTTTACTCTAAAAAAAGACACCAATAACAGTATCTCATAAATTTCCAATGGAGATGGTAATAGAATTATTTAGAAAAATGGTAATAATTGATTATATTTTGCTAATTGACAAAAAATTTTAAATTTATTTGATTAGATTTTTAACATTATTATCTTTAATATTATTTGATGATAAATCTAGGGTTTAAGATATGTATTAGTGACAAAGAATGGTCAATTATTAGGATTAATAACAAAAAAAGATGTGTTAAGGCATTTATCAGCAATAAACAGCACATCAAGAATTTTAGATTATAACGGATACATGCCAAATAATCAATCACCAAATTTAATGATTTTACCTGAGAGAAGAATGGATGGTTATTTTAATAACAATGAGATTTAACTAGATAATTAATCATTTGGGGCATACTGCAACAAATCAGACAAAATGAACATTTGCATTACTAAGAATTTAATTTAGTGTAATTGGTGATGATTTCTAGAAAAAAGGTTCCATTTATCATTTTGATTGTTTTATTTTTTTTTCTTACCACTACAAAAGAGAAAAAGTTTTTTAAAGGAAAATGCAAACTGAGAATTATGGTGCATTAGATAATTCCAATCAAAAACTGAAAGACAAAAAAAAAAGAAATATAATTAATTAATGATTGTCATATTGCAAAAAATCATCAATAATAACATTTAAAATAAAAAAGATGCTTGCGTTCAACCATAAACTTTTTTGTGGGTTGTTAATTGGACTCTTACTTGGGTTTTTTGTTTCATGGCAGAAACAAATTGATCACTTGACTAAATCAAGTGACTTCTGACGCGTAAACATATAAAATAATTGAGATTTTGGGAATTTGAGCCAAAGCCAAATTAATTTTGACAACGTGTATAATCTAAATTAAAATCAATCAAAATAGAAGAATCAAGAAAAATCGAAATTAAAATAAATCAACTATTGATAAAAAATACTCTCCTGAAATTGAAAACTTATGGCAAAATTTTAAACATCTACTTGATAAAAAGACAAAATTGGATCTAAATTTTTCATTCAATAAATGGACATTGAAATTACTTGAAGAAAGAAATGGAATGTTCCCCCCACTGCAAAAAATTCTATCATCGAAAAACCGAACCTAGAAGAAAAACAACAGAAGCAATTCAACAGTAGGTTAATAAGGAAAGGGAAAAGAGGCAGAGAATGAAGAAATGAAGATACACAAATTTAAGATTAATGCTATAATAATAGTAATTAATAATAATAGTATTAAGTGCTCAAATAATAGGTAATACTTACAATGGCTTTGGGTCCAAGTATTTTCCTTTCATGCAACTTTTATAAATTATTATGTATTTTTCTATGTACTATGTCCTTTTGCTGCGCCACGTAACAAATTTCAAAAAAATAAAATAACAATTTTGTAAAATTTTAAAAGGCATTTTCAAAATGGACCCCGCGTGATTTTGGTCTAGTAAAAATATATTAATATTAAATAACTCCTTACATAATCATCACTCGAAATTTCTTTATAATTCCAAGTCATGGTTCACTAATTTATCATTGGTCGAAAGTATTTATAAATTGATCATTGATATTAAATTTATTTTTAAAAAGATGGAAATCGAATTAAAAGATGGAAAGTTTAAAGAGTTAAACAAGCTGGAGGATAATTTGGAAAACAAAAATGGGAGAATGATAAAGAGAAGAAGAAATGGAAAATTGAGAGGGATAAGTTGGAGGATGAAAAGAAGAAATGAGGGACCAGGTGATTAGGTAAAGAAACGGGCAGATTGATAAAACATATATCCCTCTTTACTTTTCTTCTTTCTGGTATTGGAACTGGTAAATCACACACAGTGAATGAACTACTAAGATTGGCAAAAGAATATGCAGAGGATATAGAGGATGCTTATTTGAAGAAGTCACTGGAGAACCCATTTATCTTCAATATATCATTTGAAAATGGTACTCCCTTGAATCTTAGTGAAGAAAAAGCACCCACACAAGGAATTGGCCTTCAAATGTTGTATTGATTGTTAAGAAAGACAAGAACAGCTTGGGATACAACTCTACAACAGTGAATGGCTTCACCTTCTGATGTGTTAGATCTCATGTTAAAGCATCATAAAATTTCCCATCAGGATATGTCAGTTTTCTTGATTGTTGATGGATTACAGACTACTTTACAAGATGGAGAGGATTCTCATAATAAGAGTTTATTTTTCAATAACTGTATGACAGTATATCAGTCATAGCTCATCAGAGAAAAGGATCATTTGTCATTGCTTGCTGTGCAGCAATCATTACTGGTCCTGTTGAGAAGTTTCTCACCAAATATGCATTTTCTTGCCTACTGCACACTTGACAGCTCCATATAAATGACAACATGATGTCTTGGTGCAAGTCTTTCCTTCTTATCCTATTATTGAAATGCTGATTAATGACATGGGTGGCCATGGGCAGCAATAGAGACCTTGCAAGATGTGCTTGTCCATTATAGGGATTTGGATGTTGTCAATTTTACTGATCTTGTTAGTGATGTGCAAACAAAAGCTACTGGATTGATACAGTAAGTGGATTATTGCAGATCCCAAATTTTAATGTTTGCTCTGCATATAATAATACTGGCTCATCAAGTTGTGGACAATACAATGACTTTTCCAGTTATAGACAAATTCAGAGTTGATGATGACACCCAATTTGGATTAATGTGGTTTCAAAAACCATAAGATCACAAGGTTTTTGACCTGTGCTTATGTATGGTTATGGATAATGGCTAAGGTTGCTTGCCAAAACTCCACCAGAAATCAATCAGCAGGGTTTCACATTGATTGTTTATTAGAGTTTGGCAGAGTTTTGCATTTTGAGGTTTCGCCATTTCAGCATAATTTCAACAGGATTTTTGATAAGATTTAAATAGTTTTGCCATGGCTTCAGCAATTACTAAGGAGGTTTCACCCACAACCTTAATAATGGCACACACAAATGAAGATCCAATATTGGGAAATGATGATTTACATATTACAAGGAATAACAAAGGAAAGGTGATGGTTATGGAAACAAGGAAGTGGTTAACATGAGTAAAATACATTTTTGTGTACTCATTAATGGTGATGTGAAGATATGTAATATGTCATTAATATTAGAGAGAGCTGTAAAACAAACTCCTATGCCTTAAAGGATTCAATGATGCAATGTGAAAATGGGCAGATCGATGTGCTTGAGCATAGACATTGTATTATTAATTACTGCAATGCTCCTGCTGGTGATTCTTTTTGTGGTATTAGAGTTGATTCAAATAGTTATTACTGCACTGAAATACACCAATGCAAGCTGGTGAAGTCAGATGTGAATGATAACATGTTTAAAAAGGAGCATCAGAAAGCAGGTGATGAAAATGACTATTTTATTTTATTTACTACTGGAAGATATACTGCAAACCTCACTTGGCTCTCTGGAGTTGTTGATATGGATGCATGGGATGCTTATTTTGGCTCATTTTCTGGAAAGGCATTCAGATACCCTCCACCTGTTGCTAATAGAGCTACTTTTTCTGAATTGACAGGAGTCAACAGAATTGGGGAAATTCAAGCCAACATGATCATTCAGAAATGTCCTTATAATAACTTAAATGATTGCTATCAAAAAGTAAGAATTTACTACAGAATTAAGTTTTTTAGTTATTGTGTTTGAAAATTATGGGCATAATAATTAAATTTTAGCAAACTCAACTTGGGCTTTAATGAGTTGTTTAAATTTAAATTTGCAATTTTTTGTTTTATCATCATTGTCAATAAGATTGTTTAATATCTCATCTTATTTCTGAATTGCTTCTATTGTTCTTTTCCTAGGATTGGTTTATTGTTGATAGAGGTTTTTACAATAGAAGAAGCAACTCCTTTCATCTTCCACATAACTCATGGATTTCAGTTGCCATTTTATTAGATTTCTAAAACAACTGAATGTTGGTGATACATGTATAGGTTTTAATGTTAACAAATGTGTGCGACTTTAGATATTAATTTACTTTATTTTTTATCAAGAATAACTTAGCAAAAAAACAATCTGATCTATCTATAATTTTGAAATACTAGTACTCTGTGGACCATTTGTATGTGTGAAACAATTAACTGCTGAGGATAATCGTTTTATAATGCTCTTTTGATCTCTTCCTTAGCTAAGGCAATCAAGTTATTTAAAAATTTATTGTCTCCCCACTGACATAATCTCAGCTACAATTTGCTTCAATAGATAATAGTAAGGAAGGCACCAATCTTATTCAACATCAATGACATGGTTTAAATAATACAGAAAGAAGGAAAGATCTTTAATATAAAAACTACCTTTAGAAGCAATTGGATTGTGGTCCAAGTATCAATCTTAATCTCAACAAGAACTACAGATTGATGATGAAATTATTACAGTAATATTGGTGGATTGCAGTGCACAAAATTTTCTTGTGAAAATTTCAGAGTATTAAAAATATTTGCCGGTAAATTAAAGTAGCTTTTGTGCAGTTGTGGCTTGTGAAAATTGGAAATTATAATTTGTGCTCTTTTTTTATATGTTGATGGGTTAATTAATGGTCATGAAGAATCTTTATGCGTGTACACTTTCTACCAAAAGTCACTACCAGTTATGAAAATTTATTTCCTATGCTTTATGTTTGTAACATAGAAGGTCTGTTTCTCATTAACAATTTTATAGAAAATTTGATCTCCTCATTAGAAAGTTTATGTGATGAGCTTTTGAATGATATAAAACTTAAAAAGTTTTACTAGAAAAAGACTTGAAGTCATTTATATTTCAAAATTTTATATCTTTCATAATAAATTTTCACAACTGGCAGTGACTTTTAGTAGGATGCACACTTGTTCAGAGTAAAATGATATATTGAATATTATAAACCGAGAACTCTTTCCTTTCTCTGCTGCAATTTTTTCTAAATTCGACTACATTGATGATAACTTTTCTGAAATCAAAAAAGACAACTGTCATTTACATTCATTTTGTCTATCTTCAAGCTTGCAAATCAGAACTGCATATTATGCTACATATAATACTACTGTTCCTTTTTCTATAATTAATTAAATATAAAAGATTTTATTTTTTTGAGAAAAACTGTCAAAGTAAAAATATTCTAAATTATCTACCAATAATTAATGTTATGATTATTAATATCATTCATTTTTTGTGAAGATAAAGTTTGTGTAACAATAGGTAGTATCAAATCATCATTGTCATCATTATTAATGATATTAGTAGGGGCAGTGATTGGGGTGGAGGGGTGAAGTGGAGTATGTGTAGAAGAAGAAGATGATGAAGAAGAAGAAGAGTTAGGCATAGATAAATGAGGAAGAAGATGATGACGATGATGAAGTTGATGATGATGATGATGTGATGATGGTCGAATAGTTATGTTTGGATCAATTGACATTTGTCTATTATTATTCCTATTTCTATTGTTATTACTATTATTACTACTATTAGTACTATTATTAGTATCTTGATATGGAATTGAATTTAATTTGTCATTAACATCAATTTGCCAATTATTATCATTATTGCTAGAATTGTTAATAGATGATGGCGGTAAAGATTTTCTTGAAGTTGTTGGAACTTTAGGTGTTGCCATCATATTAGGGTTTATGATCATGGTTGGCGATGTTATATTTGTGGTAGTTGTAAGAATAGATGAAGCACGTTGATGATACTCGTTTACTGATGTAACAGGACTTACCGCACCAACTTCAGTGGTTTTTGAACCACCAAGGTCTTTTGATGCAGGCTTTTGATTTATTAAATTTTTTAAATAACTTGGATCAACAACATATTCACCCAAGAAAGTTTCTAATGCTGTTAATTTTTCTTCTAAATTTTCAATTTGTTTTTTTAAACAATCATTTTTGTCTTGATTATCATTATAATTGGTAGTGGGGGTGACTAATGGTAGAGTATTAAATGAATCTAAAAGTTTATGTTTTGTTGAAATGGACAAACAACAAAAATACTTTTGAATTATTCCCCAAGGTCTTATTACATCTTTACCAAACAAACACCCATAAATTGCTGATATAAGAATCCAAATTCCACCAATTAATCCTAATGACATTAAAACCTTATTTTTTCAAGAGAGATTAATTTCTTTGTCGAATAAAAAACCAATTGCCAAATATGTGAATTTCATGATACTTACATTATTAATCCTTTTTTTTGGAAAAAAAATTTATTATTTATTATTTTATATTCAATAAATTACTCAATATTATAAATTTATTTAACATTCCAATTTTACCTGATTTCTTTATTAACCTCCAACATAAAAGTTTGTGGTGAAATCGTTAAATATGTGTTTATTCCAGGAAATTTTGGTCCATTTAGCCTCGTACTTCCACCTGATTGATAATATTAGAAAATTTTAATAATAAATTATTTGTAAAATATTCATCCAAGTGCCCAAGAAAATTACTCAATAACTCACGAAAAAACACACTAGTGTAATATTTTTGATCATAATTTGGCGGTAACCCGATTAAACTTTTCCAATTTGAAATGATATTTGATTCTGATTTACGATTATAAATAAAGTGATAAATCTAATAATTGTAAATCATTATTAATTTTGATAATAATAATATTTTAAATAAAGTTATATAATAAAGTGTTTACTTCTAATGGATCCAATATAAATTGATTTGAAATATCGAAAGAATTTTGTATGTCAACAATATTTTTGTTTCTAAAATCTTGTTCTGTATAATGATGAAAAAAACCAATCAATAATCTTCAATTATAATCTAATCACACGAGAAAAATAGTAAAAAATACCTGAATCAATAAATAACACACTGGTGTAAAAATCCCCAACATCATAGGTTTGTTTCTCGTAAAAAATTCCTAGTCTGAAATCCAGCAGAGCATTTTGGTCATATTTTCTATTTTTAAAAGTTAGATTTTTCATCGGTGAAAAGAATCCTAAATAACGTCCGTCGTTATTTTTATTATCAGGTTGAATTAAGAAGTTTGAACAATCACTAATTAAAATAAAATTATCTTTTATTTAAAAATCAAAAATTCAGAAAATTAAATTTATTTATTTTTCTCTAAAGGAATATTATATATACATATACAATATAATTACATTCAAGACATTTCAATTCAAATTTATACGTCGAGCTAACGATAATGTCTACATATTATTTAATTGATTAGTTAATTAATTAATTATTTGAAAAGTAAAATAAAATAATAGTAATAATACTTGGGAAAGGAATTTCTTTTTTCTCCATCGACGACCTTTGAATAATTGGTTTATCATTTATAATATTGAAAACTTGAAGTGCAATAATGCCACATAATAATAATAATGAAAATGCTATTATTAAACTCTTTAGAGCATTTATTGACCTTGGCTCACTCTTTTTATTATTTGAATTGAAGAAATCTAAAATATACATTTTTTTTATTTTTTTTAAATGCAAATTATATATATTTTATACGTAATATTTTAATTAATTAATTTGTTGATCATATAAAGAAAGAAAGCAAGTAAATACAATTCAAGTTTTCTTTTTCGCTTAATTTATATTATCTGGCAGATTTGCTGCATTAGATTTAATCATTGATAATTATATCAACAAATAATAATGGCATTCCTATTTTCTGATATTTAGTACAAATAATTTTATTTTGGGTCGGAGAAGTATTGCATAAAATGAACCTTGATTAATCTTTTGATCACATGATTAGCATGATTTTCGTTGAATTTAATAGGGAAATAAATACCTGGCCAATTTACAATTAGTATTAGTATTAGATGAAATTATGTGAATAATTTCCGAAAAGGTTACACCTTTATCAATTTTGTTTATGTGAAATTGAATATTGCAATTTTATAGTTAAATCTGGATTTGAAGGCATATTGATTGGTTGAGCCTTCACATCTGGCGCGAATACTATCATGAAAACTACGAAATTCCAATAAAAGTTTTAGAAATCGGAAGAGAAATTTTCTCTCCGCGCCAATTTTAAATTTCAAAATTCCAAAATTGGGAAGTTTTAGACAAAATAAACGTAATATTAAATATGGTCGTACAATAAATACATGATATCAACAAAATGAGATTTGTTTTTTGGTCATACATTTCCATTTGAAAGCAATGTATGTACAACTAAGAAAAAAAATTTAATCATATAAGGAGTAATAATAAAGGCAGCATGTTCCCATGGTAGGCTTCAACTCTTAGGACTATACCCCTGCACAAACTCGCGTGACTTTCACGGGACTATCGTGCAACAATAATAAAATTACATGTTACGACGGTTGGTTTTTTCCTTTAAAACAAAACAGTCTTGCTTGCCCAGCTGAAGAGAATATAATTTATTCTTATTGCTGGTGATGATATTGATTGTCCATTTTGACTAAGAAATAATAAATAAGGTAATTAAAATGAGAAAATTTTTTCTTTTCAACAACAATATGTCTGCATAAACCTTGATCATTTATTTAATATTTTATGCTTTGACTTGAGAAATAAAATTGTTTAGGCTCAATATTAAAATATTACGATTATTCTAATTATCTTTTCACTCACCAACAAGGATTAATTAGACCGCCTAAACTTGTGAGATGTGGTGCAACGGAAATTTCAAAGTGGATAGTGGCTCTGAATTTTATTGAAATTGTATTAGAGTAAGCTTTTAACTTTCAAAGGACTTGCTGAAGTTCCCTTATATGCAAGGGATCTTTTCCGAGCATTGGTCGAAAAATTTTTTTTTTGTGCCCGATTATAAAATGTAATAGTCATCTCCAAGGTGGAAATGTCCAAGATGAAGAAGACTTTAAAAAGGCAGTAGCAAAATATAAGATCAGGACCCGAGCAGAGGGTGTATTTGAGAAATACTTTATTTACAATGTTTAGAAATATATTCAAGATCTTCATAAAATTTATCCTAATTAAGAAGATAAAGGCCATTTTAGGGCTTCGAATGAATTCGTTCCATTCGTTCCATTTCGTTCCACTCAATTTATTTGTTTTTATTATTTGTTTTTATTTTGAGTTAACAAAACTCTGTTATTATTATTATAATAAACTATATATATATAAATTTATAAATTAATAAGGAAAGATTCACGTTTTTCCTATTGAAGTTTACTATTACCATTTTTATTACAATTACTTTTATCATTAATGTTATTTAGTATTGACGTTAAAAGGGAGCCCACTCCCCAACCCACTATAACTGTCATTATTATATCGACTAAAAGAATTTTTTTCTTAATATTTTCGTTTCATTCGTTTTACTCGAATAATCATCAATGTAATTCGAATAGTGGAAGTTAATTCAAACTTCATTCGAATAGAAGTGCTAGGCCAAAACTGAATATATACCATCTCCTAATTATAATATTAATATTAATATTACTACTAGGATTGCCGTTAAGAGGATCCGTTAGTAGTAAAAATGTGGCGTTTAGCAAATTTCAATGACTGGACCCTAATTTTTTTTGTGGCGTTATATTCGACTTTGTCTATTTTATTGCAGCCCCAAATGATATTTTCTCTGGGCATCGATTACATATTTTTCTTGGCAAACTTTAATTAGGTAATAACGTACCGCCAAGAAATTTTTTTAACCACTGATAGAATAAATTTTCATAGTAATAATGTATATATATATATTCATATACTTTTTTTTTTCGTTATTTATCATCAAATTTTTTTATTTTTCGCACATACTGTAATGAAAATATGGCAGGCAAACAATCACCAATAATTTATCCAATGACAGTACCAACTTTAACACCTTCAATTATATTGACCATATTATTTCTATCAACGTCATCACTTCATCTATATCGTATGATAAAGTTTCGTAGGCCAATTTACTCGTACTTATTTGCATTTAGTTTTGTAAGATTATTACTCTTCATAGTTCGTACAGCATGGTCAACGATATATCACTCAATCACATTAAACATAATCACAAGAGTTTTATTGGTAGGAGGATTTTTCATAATAATAGAAGCATTATATACATTATTAACGGATTGGTTAATAATCACTTTAATTGGTGAAACATCAACTTCAAATTACAATCATAATAACGAAGAGGGAGATGCTATAATACCAAAATTTACAAAATATACAATAAAATTTATAAAGTTTTTTGTATTAATAATACTGTCAATTATTAATATTATTGGGGAGATAATAGAATTTGATGATAGTGGTCGATTGATTGGACAAGTCTTTATTAAAGCATCATCATTAGGTTACCTAGTGATAGTCGTAATCTATATGTTATTTATAACATATTTTGTCTTAAAATGTCATACGGGTATCTTGTTACACAAAAAATTAAAAGCATCGGTATTGTACATTGGGGGAGCATTGATGCTGATCGAGTTGGCCTACCGAATTTTTATAACATTTTCAGATCCTGGTGACCCAATCAAAAGGATTGAATGGGGTTTTTATATTTTTGAAATTTTACCTGAATTGATTCTGTTGATAGTTTTTGGTGGAGTTATTTTAGGTGAATGGTTTTACAATAAAAATATTATTGATGATATTGAGATTGGTGGTAATAATAAACAGTAATAATTACAATAACAACAATGATAATAATAGTAGTGATAAGTGTGGTCATAATTATCACAATTTAATTATTAAACTTAAAAATAAATCAAAATTTTTAGTATTATTTAAAAACAACAACGTCATCCAAACGGACACTATAAAATAATAACAACAACAATAATTCATAATAGATTAAAAAAAAATCTAATTTTGGGGGGTTGTAGTCAAGAAGTTGCTATTACTATATTTATATTTATAATATGCAATCTTATTCATTATAACAATTTTGGGTGATACAATTTTTATTTTATTTTTTTGCATATGATTCAATATGCTGTATGCTGTCGTGTGCTTTATCTTCTTCATTTTTTTGTATAGAAGAAGCACATCATGACCAAACATATAAATTTACAAAGAATGAATGAAATCAAAAATGAAAAACAAATTATGTATATAAATGAATTAAATCATCATAAAGTCAAATTTTTATTTTTTATTAAAATTCTAAAAACGAAATGATTATCAAAGAATACAATATTTCTTACAACGAAATTCATGCTTCATATTCATCAGATCTTCAAACATATGCAAGTATATATTATGTATATATATGTATATAATTTTACATTAATAAAAAATATCTAATTGGGGTTTTTTTTTTTTACAGATTTCTAGAAAAGAATTTGAAGAGACAATTAGAACATTTAATTTTTTTTATAAAAGTGATATATTTAATAGAGTATTAAATACTTCGTTAATTCTATTGATAACTTTTTATCTTCTATCGATTGTTTTATTAATCAAATTAAGAAAATTTATTATTGATGAACTTGTGATTATATTAATCTTGATAATAATAACTGGGATTTATTTTATGTCATATCGTTTGATTATTGCTAGAAGCTTTAATTTAGTAAGTAAATAATGATAATGATGATTATTATAATAAGTATTTCATTGTAACGATGCTTTGATTAATATTTTATTAATTATTCTATGTAGAAATTTATGGGACTTGGAAACAAAATTAAAGATATAAACGAATTAAACGAATTATATTGTTTAAAAAATATCAAATGGAAGATCGTAAAACATAAATCTTGTATGGTAAGAATAAGAATTTAATAATAAATCATAAATAGTGCTAAATCAGCCATGTTAACTAATAGTAAATATAATATTTTTTCCGTGTATTATTTGTTAGCTACTTGTTTTAGAGATAATTACTGAAAATGATGATAATTTTCAAACTTCAAGAATTATAAGTTATAATGATGATGATGATGATAATAATTATGAAAATTATATTGAAAATAATGAATTAGTATTGATAAATATTATTAATGATGATGGTGATGATGATGCTAATTTTAAGAATGTTGACGATGAATTTATTCAAAATGGAGGAAGAGAAGAATCATCTAATGACGATCATTTATTAATTGAATTATAAATGTAAATATATATTTTTAGAAGAAATAATTTTCTTTAAAATCTTTAACAACTTCTCTTAATACTTGTCTTAAAAATGATACATGATAAGGTATTTCATTATAAGATGGAAGTTGTTCGATTCGTTTATTTGTTACTAGTTCTAAACTATCGTAATTTTTTGTAATTATTGCTGTATAATAATAGATGAGTATGATGATTAGAAAAGAACAATTATAAAATTATATATATTATATATGTATATTATAAATAAAATTATAAATAAGATTATAGATTATAAATAAATTATAACACTAGAAATAAATAAAGCACTTACATAATACTTGTTCTGGTGTAATAGCTTTGACTTCGTTATTAATTTTCCATAATTCAATTTTATCATGAAAATGGTTAGAAATTATATTAATATTCTCCAATGTGTTATTATTATTGCTGTTGTTAGATTTAATCATTGTTACTATGAAATTAATTATTACTTCAATTAGTAAAGAATTATTTAATTCGCATACTCTTTCCACTCCCCTCTTTTCATCCCATTCTCATACCTAATCCATTTAAATTTTCAAATGTTTCTTTATTCCTAATTATTTCATAAAATAAATTATCATAGCTTAATGCCTCATTAAAAAATTGGTCACCATAAGAAATGCTCAGATTAATGATATCAATAACCAGCATTAATACTTCTTTGATTATAACTGATTTATCTTCAAAATAATCAATATTCGATTTGATAAATTTCAATAAATTTATTAATGAATTCCATAATTCAACCCAATGATAATCTATTAGGATATAATATTAGAATAATTGGTAAGATACGGTTCTTACTTATTGATTGATTAATTGATTCGTAGATTAACTTACCTAATCTAATTTTATTTGTTTTTAATTGAAAAATGATTCTATGAATTATTCCTAATGTTAAACTACAAATTAATTAATTAATTAATTAATTAATTATTGTATAAATACCACCATTTAATAATAAATATCGCTATAATTACCTGTATAAATCCGATTGTAATTTTCTTCTCATGTTATGAATTAAAAATCCAACACAAATATCTAAAATAAAACAAACAATTGGTCTTGATGATTTAACTTCTGGTAAAATAGGTTTTTTCTAAATTTATTATATAAATTTGTATTAATAAATAATTAATCAACCAGTCAATCGTCAATTAATACCCAAAAATTGCGATACTTAACTTGTTTGCATAATCTAATTTTAAACAATTTTGTGTCTTCGAAGATAAACTTTGCATTTTTATCATCTTCGATAATTATGGTTAATATAAATAATGATAATTTAATATATTTAAATGTTCTTTGAGTGCGATTATGTTGAAATAAATACGACAGAAATGATAAGAAATCACAAAATAATTCTTGATGTTGTTGACTATCGTCGTTGTCATCGTCATTTTTATTATTACTTTTTTTATTATCTTTTTGGTTTTTAGAAATGAATTCAATAAATTTGTGATTATTATTAATTATATCAAAAAATATTAAAAGAATTGCAACATTCGAACTTGGCCTAAATCAATAAATAAATCAATAAGAAATCTAATTAATTAGATAAGAACAATAATTATATAAAAAAAATATTTTCTTACAAGTTAATAAATTCTTTATATGCTTCATTTTGTTGAATTTGATTATTGTTATCATTAGCATTTTGCTGTGTATTATTATTTGTATTACCACTAGTAGTGCTACTAATAGTATTAGTATTAGTGATAGTATTAGAAATAGTAGTGGCAATATTACTAGTAGTAGCAATAGTATTAGAAATAGTACTAGTAATAGTGTTGGTGATAGGATTGTTCCAAGGCATGATCGAAATGTATGATAATACACTTGATACTGTTAATTTTTGAGTATTTTCATAGTCATCATCTTGGATTTCAATATACTGACTAAATAATCATCACAATATTAGATTAAAAAATATTAATTAAAAATCCCATTATATTCTTCATAATAATGTCAATACTTACTTTCTACATTTACTACAAATTAATCCAATCACTTTGATCAATGCTCCAAATATTTTATCATCTTTAATTTCACTTATTTTAATTAAATAGGGATTTTTAAATTCTCTTTTTTTATAATTTGCCAAAATTCCCAATAAAATTGCTGCATCATATGAAATATTCGAACTTTCTGATGATAATGATACACTAATCAACTATTAAAAAATTTTTTAAAAAAAAAAATGCTATTAAATATTATTATGCTTATTTTAAAGGTTTTTGTCACTAATTTCACACCAATAATCATTCCGTTAATTAATTGATTAATTAGTTACCTGTAATAGTGGATCAAATATATCATTTTTCATAAAATATTCATTAATAATATTTTGATTTATATTGTCATTTCCACAAACTAGAATTATAGCAAGTTTTAATGTTTGATTTCTAATTTCATCTATGAAATAATCATTTAAATAAGTTATAATCATAATTATTTTTATCAAAATTATTATTAATAGAAACATTAGCAAAATTTAATGATATTAAATCACCTGATTCTCCTTTAATCAATAAATATTTAATAGAAGTAATCAATTTCTAAAAAAAAAATAATATTACATTAATAAATAATTTTTACCAATTCTAATCATCAACCATGATAATAATATATAATACATTACTGAAAATGTAATATTTGCATTATCTAATCCTGTTAATAAATTAATCACTTCAAAACTAAAATTATTGAATTTCTTTGAAAAAATTCCTTTTAAAATTATGCATAATGTCTATTTATGTGCAAAAAGAAAAATAATCAATAAAATTAATAAATTAATTTTAATAAACAATTTATTAAATTTATTAATTACTTCAATTGCATTGATTTTCCTCTGAGGTATTTTATCTTCTCTCATAGTTTCAATTGCATTTGAAAATATTTTCCCAATATTTATCTAAATATAAAAATATAATACATGCATCATAAACATAATTAATAATATGTATGTTTAAAGATCAATAAAATTTTTTTAATATTTACCTTAATACTTAGTAAATGATCTTGAGAAAATTCAGAAAAACATTTTGAGAGATATGATGAATTCACTTTAAGTAAAAATAATTCATTCCAAAAATTAGCATTTCCTATTGATGGATCATTTCCCTAAACAACAACAACAGTAAATTTTTCTTTTTTTTTTTAAATAGATTCTTCAATCTTTTCTCTTCCTTTCTTATATAATATATATAGTTTATATGTAATCATATTTATTTACCTTGAAAAAATTTTCGTAAATTTCTATAAATTTTTCTTTTAATACTACGTTTCTTGATCCATGATTTACCATAATTATTGGTTTAATAGTAGGTGATAAAGGTGTTGTAGATTGCATTTTTAAATTGTTTAAAAAATTTTTCAATATAAGCCATAATTTAACTTTAAACCTCGTGTAATCAAAATATTGGCTGATGATTTTTCAATGTCCTTAATATTATTGGCTAATGAAATCTGATTTGCAAAAAAAAACAATAATAATAGTAATAAATGATAGCGATATAGTGATAGTAATGAATCACCAGATGTAATATTTTGAAAAGAAACCAGAAATACTTTATTGAATTTCTTCCATATTCACATTACAACCGAAAGAATCAAAAAGAGAAAGCTTGTCGTAATGGTATAGATAAAGATACCCACCCATAAATCTAGTTATGATCATATTAGCAATGGTGACAATTGTTGTAAGTTTGATAACGATGGCAATGATCATGGTTATGACAATTCTGATAGTAATAGCAATGATTTAATTCTAAAGGCGGTTATAGGAGCATTGGAAGGTAACTGACACTGCCAATGAATTGGTAGTTCTTAACAATTATAGCATCTTTGAACAACCAAGCATTGATAAAAAGTTTTAATTAAATTATATATCAACAAGTAATATCTGTTAGAATTAGAATCCAGATAATTGCTTCAAATGTCATCCACCAGGCACAAAAGAAAAAATGGATAAAAAAATTTGAAATCTTAAATGTTTAGTTAAACGAGGCAATGTTGGAATATATCGCATAGGACAGACATAAAACAATTTATCTTTTATCTTCTCATGTGACATTGTTCTTGAAAGAAAGATAATATATTCGTATGAAATTACAAAGATCATCAGGCCAGCATGATCATCAACGCATCCTGTTATAGATAATTTGATTTGTTTATATTAAATTACATCCATAACTGCTTCCACAATTACAAATACAAAATTAAAGGTACAGACCAACACACATGCTGCTACTTGTTTGTATAAAATTTCTATATACAGAGAAAACTTACATTAATAACAATAATGGTTTAGGAAGGAGTTTGAGGAATAGCTGTGATCTCAACTATTCAATTATTAAAAGTAGCAATTATAGATTCACAAAAAAAAAAGGAATAGTAAAATTAAAAATAGAAAGTAAAAGTAAAATGACTATGATTTGTTGCAAGAAATTTTATCCAAATGATTTTGATTTTGATTCTTGACACATCAAAGTTACCATATTAGTAATATAATTTAGATTTAAACAAAGTAGTAGTTACCAAAAAAATGAATCTTAACTGCGTTGTGTATATTTCATTTCTAAAGGTTCTCACAAGCTAGTGTCTTCAGACTACTCAAATGTGTATTCCTTTTTATTACATGGCACTGCTCCCAAGTCTTCCATTCTAAAAAATATTGAAAGTTGCAATTCAGAATTATCACTTAATGAATGAATAAACAGAGTGTTATCCAATAGTACTTTTAAAAAAGGAAGTGGAGAGACAGACATTTACAAACCATGACCATTTGTCAAGAAGAAATTATTCTCATGACAATAAAATAGTAGTATTAATATGATATATATTAAATTTTTTTTTAGAATAAATTTGATTTTTATTATTAATAACACTAGTATGGGTAAAAACAGGAACGGTATTAGTTAAAGCACATACAATGATCTTTAATAAATGATATCAATATAATTCATTGCCTTTATTATTATTATCATTACAATGACAAGATTTATTTTTTGATTGCCCCCTTCTATCATTGACCACAAATAGTGACAATACCAAATATGGAAAGTGATGCAACAACATCAAATCTTGGTCCATCACGGCAATAAGCATGCGAGCAGAGATTGGACATAAATTTTCATTTTTGTGTTATTGCATGTTGATCATTACCTATCACGTACGCGTCATTATATGGGGCATGAGCAATAGAAAGGGGGGTAAACGTCAAAATCACAATTTCGAGAAAATTGAAAAATATCTCACTTTATTAAGTCAGCATGATTACCAAGTTAAAATTAATTTTCGTGATGAATTGCATGTATAAATGTTGTCACTCAAAACCATGATCTTTGTAATTCTATTGTCAATCTCTTGTTTACTATTTTTTAAAAAAACTAACAGAAAATTTCTCAAAATTTTATTCAGTTACGTAATATATATGTGGCAAAATTATGATTTTTGACGCTGACCCCCTTTCTATTGCCCATACCCCATATATATGTGTGTAATTAAATCTTCAATTTTTCAATTTTAAAATAAACTATAAATTAAAATGAAATTTACAGCTAAACCGAACTGCTATAAACCGATTTTCGCTTTATAACGATACAAAATTGGTTAACCGAATCATATTTAATAAAAATTATTTTGTTAAGTCGAATTTATTATAATTTCTACTTTACTTGATAAACCGAACTTAATGGTTTGTACAAAATAATAAAAATATAACTTTTTAAGTCAAATATGATCATAAACTGGTTTTAAAATTCGTCTTATTGATCTTCCGTTACTAATTCATCTGCAACCATGTTATTCTCAATATTTAAATACTCATCCGCTAAAAGTGAATCATCAAATGGGAGTTAGTTGATTAAATCTTGAACTTCACGATTTTCTCATTCAATATCAACTTCAACTTCAATTTCAACATTATCGACTTCAATATTAGTGCTTTTTATTAGAACATGACATGGTTAAAATAGAAAGTAGATCGACATTATTTTTAAGCCGAATTTTATGATGATTAATTCAACCAACAGAAATAGATGAACAACAGGATGAAACCTTTATTCCAGAAATTTCTATTACAGATACGATAATGTAATTTTTTACTCATAGTAATAAGAATACTAGTGTTATCTTTCACTCGGGCCTCGGAAACATTACCAATGGCAAGTTCATTAGAATGCTGACCACGAAAAGGTCTTTTAGCTGAAGTCCCATTAAATCGCTCAATAAACCCTTTTTTATATGGGAACAAAAAACTCTGATTCGAGCCCCAAATTTCTTCATGAGAACCTTGCATTCACCCAAAATTCGTCTTCCTGGTCCACTTGAAAATCCTAAGGCTACACAAAGAGATATTTGGGTTTGAGTACACATTCTTAGCAACATGCCTTGCTGTTTTTTCAGTCAGAAGATAGTGTCATTTATATCGATTAACACAATCAACAATTAAAGAGTGCATATTTATAGACTTTACCTTTAATCTTACCCCAAGGCATGTAAAAAAGATCGTCAAAATGAAGTAAATTAGGTTTTTTCGCATTGTTATAGGAGGGGCGAGGAATATACCCGGATATAGGTGGATAGATCTGATATAACGCTTGATTAGATGGCCATTCACAAATATCGGTATATTGGAAGTTAAATACAGATTCTCTACAAGCATTAGCAACTTTTTCAAGCGTCTTGTAATATGCTTGAGGCCTATAATAAAGCATCCTGATAATCATTCCCTTTGGATCAATCACAATTTGTGCCTGTAAATCCATAATAATTAATCAAAGAGTATCATGGAAGAAATTATCCACACAAATTGAGAATTACGCAAGCAGTTTGCTGAAGATGATGAGATTATAAAACAAAAATCAGATCCCTATAACGAGATCTTGAGTACTGTAAATAGGAGATCAATCTTCTAGGCAATTCACTAATGTAGTTGTCATTTATTATTTTTTTAAGATATTTACGTGCATGACATTGAAAAAATCTATTAATATTTATAAAAAATATATACTCATATATACATTCACAATAAAATAACAAAAAATATGAAATAATGAAACTAGAATATAAAAGAAAAACCAAAATTATTAAATTCGATTACTACAACTGTTATTATTTATTATTAATTCAAGTGGAAGTATTATCAGGCACTTGAGCAATCCAATTAGGAGGTTTAATACCAGTTTGATCTTGAATTGTTGATAAAAGTGGAGGTAAAGATTGAAATATGTTAGAGATTGGATTATTAAAAGATTGTGCAGACGATTCTCCACCAGTATTCCAAACAGTGATTTTAGGATTAAGACCTTGAACTGCTAAAGCATTTTCTTTGGCCAATTGTTGGAATGTATCACGTTGAATCATGATATATTGGATAGCTGATTGAGTATCGCCATCAAATGCTTGCATTAAATTTTTGACACCTTCAGCTTGAGAATTATATAAAGCTAATACACCTTCAGCCTCTTTTTGTTTCTTGTATAATTCGGCTTCGGCTTCTTTTTGAGCAGTGTACAATTTAGCATCAGAATTTGCCTTATTAGCTTCAAATTCGGCTTTAGCTTTAGAAACATATTGAACTCTAAGTCTTTCAGTCTCTGATAATAATCTACGTTCTTCAACTTCTTTTTGAAGTTCGGCTTCACGTTTCTTTGCAGCTTGTGCAGCTTCAATTTCTGCTATTTTCGTTTGTTTATTGTATTCTGCTTTTTTAGTGTTGAGATTCATTTCAGCTTGTGCAATAGCAACTTGACGCTCTTTTTCAACTAAAACTGTTTCAGCTTCAATCTTTGAAGTTTCTCTTCTCTACAAACAAATAAATAAAAATAAATAAAAATAAATAAATATAAATAAATAAAATAAAATATTTTAAAACTTACCGTCGAACCTTCTCTGTCTTTGGCCCCCACATCACCTTTATATTTAGCTTCAGCGACATCAACTTTGGCTTGATTTACAGCACCTTCATGAGTTTTCATACGCTATAAAAAATAAACGATATTTTTTAAAAAAGATTTATTATTTCTAATATTTAAAAGGAAAAAAAGCAAGCAATTTACCATGTAGGCAAAATATTCAGATCCTTGGGTGTCTTGTAATTGTTTAACATTAGCATTATAAATAAATAAACCGAATTGATCCAATTCAGCTTGTACACTTTTAATGACTTCTTCTTTAAATCCTTTTCTTTCGCGAAAGATTTCTTCCATAGTCATAGCTGCAGCAATTACACGAGTTTCACCTTCAATGATACCTCTAACTAAATCTTTGACGTGATCCGAACTTTTATCATGTGCTGCCAATAATTTAGCATAACGTTCAAGGCTTGATTTTTCATCTTTTGGACTGTATAACATATATATATAAATATATTTAATGACTTATTTTTTGTTTTTCGTCAATTATTGAAAATTATCGAAAATTACCCGATAGTAAAAACAGCAGGAAGATTGAATTCCAATTTTTCGGCAGTCATAGCCTGAAGTTGTAAAGTGTAATTTGCGGGAGTGATGTCAAAAAACATGGATCTTTGATTAGGGAATATCCATGCTTTTTTACATAATTTAACATCATCGATAAAAGCACCAGTTTTTACCAAATATTGGTTTGGATCGCTGTATATATATACATAGATATTATTATTTTATTAGGAAAATTATAATTAATTAGAAATTAATTTAATACCTGATTCTATACATGATGATAAATTATTATAATTAAGCGTGGATGATTGATTATGTGGGAGACGACGTGTAGTTAAATCTTGAATTCTTAATATTAAATTCAATATTTAAATTTGAAGAAATTGATTTTTTTTTTGTTCAAAGGAAGGAATTTTGCGTTTTTAAGTGAAATTTGACTTCAAAAAAGTAAATTAGACAATGGTGAATGAAGCTTCCACAAGGAAAATATTATTTCATTTCTATTTCTATATTAATATTGTATTCCATATTGTGATCGAAAGAACATTCTAGTACTAGTACTAGTGTTTGAATAAATTCAGCGCGGTAGTTTCCAAATTGGTTAAATAGCTTCTAAATTTGTACTAGTTACACAGCGAAATTTCCGTTATTTGTTATGTAATAGTAATGGAAATGATGGAAATCGGGATCAACTTTGAGCAGAAAACTTCTATACTAATATCTATCTTTGGTCTGGAAAATTTAGTTTGATCGTACAACAAGGAACTTTGAACTACTATTATTATTATAGTAATAGCGTCATTTGAGATAACCAATAAAAATTATTTTTCAAAGTTTGGATAATAATATTAGGTATTGATTATGAAACCATGTCGATTGTAACACGTTAAAAACATTACATTCTAAGCAGCAGTTTTAAATGAATATTCTACAGTTTACCAAAATCGAAATTCTTCATTTTATATACACAGTCATTTAATTTTCCTTAGAAGGTAAATTATTGTTGTTGTTGTTGTTGTTGTTGTTGTTGTTGTTGTTATTATTGTTGTTCCGATATTAATTTATAAAAAATCAATTCTTTGAATGAACGAACACCTCATGACTTTACTATTTATATGTCAAGTAAACATAATCAAGTGACATTTTATTTATTATTTAATTCGGTAACACCGGACGAAGAACTTAATTGTATAATAATAAATGACATGAATATATCTATTTGCCATCATTATCAGTTTCCAATCCTCTTTCTTTAACAAAAAATCAGAAATGAAGGAAATCTATCTACCAAATTTAAAATTTCTGCTACAAAAAAATAATTTAGAAAAATTAATAATTTCTAAGCCAGGCATGAAAAAATTGTAGCAAAACAAGTTGCAAATGATCAAAATCTTGGTTTTGTAGAGCTTCATGTTATAATTGTCTAATTTATCTTATGTTGGTTGCTTGTATAATTTAGTTTCTAAAATGTTTTGTATAATATTATCTATTAATTAATGCCATGAAATGTTATCATCGTGGGTTAAAATACAAGAATTAAGAGCAGCTTATATAATTATCGGAAGGATCAAGTAAGTGGGTGTCCCATATCATATGAACGGGACACATAATAATAAGAAAATATGAGTTATTAGGAAAATCAGGTAAAATAGTGACACTTGTCTCGTTTTTTTAATAATAAAATCTGTTACGAACAAAATGTTTTTATATTAACTTTAATAATATTATTTTCAGTAGAGATTGGCACCATTAACCGTTTAACGTCTAATCCGATGATATCATCAATATTGTGAGCTAAAAACCTTGATATTGGAGAAATCAAATCGTATTTTTACTGATATTTATTTCTTGATCTAAATAATTATGTGACTTCCAAATTGCTTTGCAAAAGAACAATATCGAGATGAAAGAGACGGATAAGTGCTGTTATTAGTTATTAAAAACAACGGTGGTTATCGCCACTTTCACTCTAAGAACGGTTAGCCCGCCAGATTCCGAGGTGAATCTGAAAAAATAAAAAAAATATTCTTTGTCAATTTCTTGGTTTTTTATCTCTTCATTTATCCGAACGATAACCCTTTGCTTGTATTTTTCTGGATTATCAACAACTAATTTTTCTCTTATTTTCTTCTCTTCGACTAAGGCATTAAACTTCTCTTCGTCAGTTCCCTTCCCAAAGAGAAATGCATAAAACTGACCAACTTAAAGAGAATTTGGCAACAAAAACTTTGGTGAAATAAAAATTCAAGAGGTCAAGGGAAAGAAATATTTTAATTATTTTGTTTTTCTTTCTTTTTAAAATTAACCATTACTATTAATATGAATAAATAGCTAACAGAATTTTGAAGTCGCTAAAACAGTTGGTATAATAAGTAGTATGAATATTATTTTATGAGTAATGGAGTTTTATACTCCAAAGACATAAAATATAATTTTCTTGCAATATATACCAATCTGACTACAAGAAAATAACGATGACAAAATATTTGGATGTCATTTCGTAAAAGGCCATATTCCAGATGAAAATACCGCCATCAATTGAAAATGTTGAATACTACTATCATTTAGTATCGTTAATGATATTTTTTTTGTTTTTTTTCCATTCATTATACACTTACACTTGGTGACAAAAGTTTGCATCCAAAATTTCTTCTGAATTTATTTCAAAACTATACTAATTAAATATTGTGATCTTTATATCATTCGAAAGCTCTTGTCCTTGAGAATATGTTCGTGACATTAAATTTTGAAGCTTTGTCATAAATAAAAAATAAAAAATGATGTAAAAATAGCAAAAAAGTTTGCTTTTAAAAAATGGGAAAGAACTACGAATTTAAATTTAATTGACAGTATGCACTGAAGGGTTGGATATTGCATTGTCAACAATCGGCTGGCCAACTAGATATTAAATATAGTGCAAGACACCTAGTCCCA